TGGACGGGATCTGATCTTCTGACCGCGAATGTAGTAAGTGCCACTTGCCAATGCACCCTCCTCGCCTTAGGAAATGGTAAATAACCATTGCTTATCTTAAAGTGTGGCACTATCTCTCACTTTTCTATCCATTCCTGATTATTTACCATTTCCCAAGGCGAGGTTGGTGCATTGGCAAGTGGCACTTACTACATTCGCGGTCAGGAGATCAGATTCCGTCCAGGCCACCCAAGCCTTCTGCCCTTAGCAGCGGTGAATCGGTATCAGATTCATCGGGAGGACAAAAACACTGACTTGTACATTGGCTGGCCCATCGCATTCAGCAAGCCACTAGGATTCTGGAGAAGTAAAATGCGTGCCGCGTTCCAAAAAGGAATTGATCAACGGCGAATACTTAATCCTTTTTTTTTAAATTTTCCTTTTTCCCCATGTGCATATTTTCACACAGTTTCGACCGATTTTTCTGTTCTTCACGCTTTCAGTTGTGAATGGTGAAAAATTCCTCTTTATTTCAGAATGAACGGATAGCAAAACCTGATGATTTCGATCAAGGCTTTACAGCGGATGGACGAGTGAAGAAGGAAGCCAACGATAGTGAGCTCAGTTGTTCTGCTTCTATAGAAATGTCGAGGAAATAAGTTTTGTAGTTATTCGTGGTGCCCTCATCGACCCAGGAGCTGACCTTGTTGTATGTGACGAAGGTCATAAAATCAAAAATCTCAACACCGACATCGCTTCTGCCTTGGGAGCTATCAAGACTAGGTAAACAACCAAACCTAATGATAATCCTTACTTCTAATCTACTGATTTCCATTGAGTTTTTTTAGGCGACGCATTGTACTGACTGGATACCCATTGCAAAATAATCTTATGGAATATTACTGCATGGTAGACTTTGTTAGACCCGATTTTCTGGGTTCGAGGAAGACATTTTTGATACAGTTCGAGAAACCGATCAAAAACGGCCAATGCATAGATTCGACAGCAAGTTTGTTTTTCGTCTGGTTTTTGCTTTTACCATAGCAAGGAATTCGACTAGTTTATTTTTATTCTACATATTCATTCTTTTTCCCCTTGATTCAGAGGTGGTGTAGTGCAAGTAGCACGTTCATCCCGCTTGCACGATTAGGGGATCGAATCCCGGATTGGCTTCCTCTCTACCAACCAC